ATAGTTATGATGTGTCTTGTATTTTCCAGGAGTGTGTTAGAATAGTTACGATATGTCTTGTATTTTCCAGGAGTGTGTTTGAATAGTTATGATGTGTCTTGTATTTTCCAGGAGTGTGTTGGAATAGTTACGATGTGTCTTGTATTTTATTTTCCAGCTGAACATTTTCACTACAGTAATAGCATCAGTTTCACTAGAGGGCGTGTTGAGGAGCTTTCTTGGACGGCCGCTGCGGCTGCGATGGGCTTGGGTTTCGCATTGTCTCTCTTGTTTTTCATGGACCAGAATATCTCGGCTGCCATGGTGAACAACCCCTGCAATAAGTGAGTTTCAGTCATCCATATTTTTTTTATACAGCGAACTATAAAACGTGGTGAGAATTTTTCTCAGTATGGTATACGATAAACGAAACGAAATCACTAAATTAGGAGGGAATATCCTCGTGAGTTTCGACTATTTGTGACGTATTTTCAGATAATTATGCTTAATTGGTAGAATCGGATGTAGCGTCATCTGTTAATAAATATATAAATTAGAGTTATCTACCTATTTGTAATATTACAAATTATATTGACATGTAGTCTATGAGGCCTGAAAAGTAAATTTAATTTATAGCACCGTTTCCACAAATAATGTGCCATATTATATGTTGTTAATGTCTTTGTTACTGACTTTATTTCTTCTCTTCTTACACATTCACCATTAGACAAAAAAAACTCCGAAATAATTAGCATCTTCTTTCCTCCAGTGAGTTAGTTTAGAGGTTCGATTTCTCGCGGTAGACAGTGCGTAGATACCCATTGTGCAGCAAAGAAAACAAATAGCAACTCCTTTTTAATTTTTTCATTTGTTCGTAAATGCAGACTTTGTGTATTACTACTATCGTATATCCAGAAATATTTACACACACATTAATGACGGAACACCACATCAGAACTTCCTCAGGTGACATAAACCGGGATCGGAGTTCATTTTGTTTGTTTATTGGTGATAATGTAAGGACAGGAATAGTCAGTAATAGAAGCATCAACTTTGTTTTTACATATGTATATATACTGTCTTTTCTTTTATACATACACAAGTGTACACAATCCAAATGGTCTTCTTACTAGGAAATCTTGAACCTTCTACAACATATACGGATAAACAGCTAGAATAAGGAAATTAAATTATCTTCAGTTCTTATAGTTTTCAGCTTTTTATATTCTCGGTAACTAAGTGTTTGATATCATTTATAACAATATGAGTAACTAAGTGTTTGATATCATTTATAACAATATGAGTAACTAAGTGTTTGATATCATTTATAACAATATGAGTAACTAAGTGTTT